TGAAAAGAATAATTTAGTTGGACTTATGTTCTAGTGGTGTCCGTGTATCTATTTGTCATGCAGAGAAATTGGAAGAGAAGAAAGAATGAAAGGATAAGAGGAAGAAAAACTAGAAGAATGAGAAGAGATGGAAAAAAATGGTATGAAAAAAAAAGAAGATAAAGAATGTTGGTATAATTGTAAATAAAAAAGTAATGGTGTACTTTGCCAAAGAATGTAGACGGTAACATATACTGAAAATATACTATATACAAACAAAGAAATAGTTTCATATAAACAATGAAACAAGTCCTATCTACTCACAAGAAAATTGCCAAGGTGTCACTGAGATTGTGTCGACGGGAACATATACTGAAAATATACTGTATATAAACACAACATATACTATCGACATCTCAATGAGCCCGATCTCGGCCTCTCCTTCGTCATCTCCAACTTCACCTCCTTACGAAGCATCACCCCGTTCATGAACCCGATTAGACCGCCGAGAACCTGCCACGTGTGAACCTTGTTGTCAGTTCATCTTCGCACAGAACTGGGCATTATCAGGGCAGAGTTCATCAGTTCATCTTCGCCCCCACTCGCAGAAAGTCTGACATCTAAACCTTGATGTCGGTCGATTGAGGGACTTCGTTGCCAAATCTAGAATTATGATCTGCAAAGTGAAAATCTTATACATTTTTTAAAATTTTGAATTTGTATATTGGGTTTAATTTGGAAAATATTTAAACATGGATGAAAGTTTATTTGAGGGTTACTTGAAGAAGATGATGGATGGGAGGATTAATTTGTAGAGATTAGGATTAAGCTGGTTTGCAGAATCGAATAAATAAGAATGATTAATGGAGGAAGGAGAAGAGATGGATAATTGAAGGGAAAAGAAAAAGGAAAAAAGAGGAGATAAATAATGTTTGCATATGTGCAAATACAAATTATTGTGTTGGTGTACTTGCAAATAAAAAAATAAGATTAGTGTATGTGCAAATAAAGTTGATTTTGATGGTGGATGGGGTAATTTTCTCTTGTTTATATGGATCGAGATAAATTGTTTGGGGTAGGGTAGATTGGACAAAAAAAAAGTTCATCGGCCATCGCTTGACAACCATCGAATCGAGTTAACGACAAGAACTCTGTCATCGATGAATGCAAGATCGCTAATGTTCGCTTAACTCTTTGTTGTCGATTTTAGTGTCTGATTTGCAATCGCAAAAGATCACATGTCAATCGACTGTCATTCACGACTCGTCGCCCAGTCGCCACCTCGTCATCCACTGTCGGTTGGTGAAACCCTCCGCCGCGTCACGACTGCCATGACTCGTCAATTATTTGGAGAGGTGTGGTGTGTCGAGAAACATAATTGAAAAGAATTATTTAGTTGGACTGATGTTTCTAGTGGTGTTCATGTATCTGTTTGTCATGCAGAGCAATCAGAAGAGAACAAAGAATGAAAGGATAAGAGGAAGAAAAACTAGAAGAATGAGAAGAGATAAAAAAAAATGGTATGAAAAAAAAAAGATAAAGAATGTTGGTATAATTGTAAATAAAAAAGTAATGGTGTACTTTGCAAATATAAAATATGATTAAAACTGTTAGATATATGCAAATGAAAGTAATTTTTTTTTTTTTGGTACAGGGAC